TTTTATTTAAAACTTATTTCAAATTCATTTTCATTTTCAATTTTAACCATTGCATATTTCTCTATTATTTATTTTTTAAAATAAATACATTGGTTAATGATTTAATAAAAATTCTTTTAAGTTTTGCCTTCAACAATATCTTATATCTTATAAACTGTAAATTATTTGTATATAAACATTTCTAATTTAAAGTAAACAGAAAAAGGGATTTTTAATATACGGTATTATTAAATAGTTTGTCAAATAAGAAAACAGTAAATGTATGATTTATGAAAGATGTTAAAAATAATTTTATGCCAAAGGCGATTAATTAAAAAAATATATCTCAAATTTATTTCATATATACTAACTGTAAAAACGTAATAATTAACCATATTTAATCAATAGTCAGAATAACGTTTGATATATCATAAGAATTTTACATATTTTAAAATATCTAAATATATATGAAAAAATGATTTACTATCTAGTATATTAAGTGTATTCTAATTAAATAAATTATTTTACTTAATTAAAGGCTATTTTTTTAGCAGCTAAAATAAGTATGTTTGTGTTTATTGTAACAATTTATTAACCTTATAATTTATATTTTCATTACAAATGTACATGTAAAACTTCTGAATAATTCATGGTTTTCATAAGTACTATTGATCTAATTATTTTAAATATACTCGTTGTTCTTAATAAAATGTTATGCATACAAATATATTTCACTAAAAATAGAATCTAGAATAATCTATGCAATAATCATAATAATTTTATAATATGCTATTAAATGAGATTACTGCGATATAATAATATGGTCAACAATTTATTTTGTTATATAGAATTTCAAAAACATATGGATATGAAAAATTAATTACAAATTATCAGCATATATCAGTATGAATTCGTACATCATATATTCTAAGTATGAATGTAAAAAGCAGGATCATTGGTAACCCAATATTCAAAGATCTTTTGAAACTTACTGAAATATAAAATATTTTTAGTAGAAACTAATGCATTAAAACAGAACTAAGTGCACTCGCTGGATTGTAAATAGCAAATTGCGCTTCTATTCTTGCTACTTTCCGTACTTTTTCCATATATATGGAGTTGAAAATGACTTCTTGTTTGCCTACTCAACAAATATTGACGATAACTACAAAATGATACCGAACATAAACGATTCAGTTCAGGCAATTTAACGATTATTTGGCTATGGTTTATTAATTTTCTTTCATTCGTCTTTTAATGTTAATTACTAAAACGAATTAAGTTTAATTGAAAAAATTAACTTTAATAAGTTGCAGAATTATTTTTAATTCGATTCGTATTAAGTTCAAATCTATATATATGTATACAATTGATGATTTATAATTTATGAATGGATTCTGATTTTTAAGTAGATTTTTCCGATACTAGTATCCTTTTGAATCTCGTTTATAAATATTTTTTGTCATACAAAACATAGTGAAAATTTAATTAGATTCTTTACGGATCTAATTTTTTAACTTATATAATTATACAAACTTGCATTTCCAAATTTTGTAGTATTTTACATATATATAAATATATATAAATCAATGTTTCAAAAAGTTAAATATTTAAACAACAAAATGTTTAAATTTAATTAGTTTGTGTTTGCTTATTCAAAATTACATTCTAGTATTTAAAGAAAGTATTTTTTGGAAGGTGTTTTTCATTTTTAGAAAGCACAAATTTATAATTATAATATAGATTTTATAAATATATACTAAATATAAAATTTGACACCAAAATTAATATATGCAGTGTATCCTTACTTTAACTATATTTTTAATGAATTCTCATAAAATCGCATTTTATGTTCTTTTAAATTCTGCACATAAATTACCGAATTTTCATATAATAGAATATTTACATTTCATGACTCATCAACTGTTTATACTTGAAGTGACATATTTACATCTTGCCAACTCTACTTAGACTATCTACATATGTGTTTTAGCAGTAAAGCTCGTGTTAGATGAAGAAGAGGAGTAGGTAGTCTACTAATTATCCGAATGGCTCAGTTCAGCAGCAGCATTTCACATCAATTCAGCGCCACTCTGCACTGTCCCTCATCAACGCTGATTGCCTAACTCTAGGACCATCAAGCCTTTTGCCTGCTTAACCTCCTTGACTCATCTTTGCTTCATTCGACTATCTCAAATTACGAATCTATATGCGAAAATCATGGATTTAACTATATCTTTAAATACTATGTGACGATAAATAGCGTGCGCGCGTAGAGGTAAATAGGGTCTAAGAGAGACAGAGAGAAAGAAAAATATAATTAACTCTTTATAAATCTAAAAAATAAAATATTGTGTTAACCCAAATACTATAAAAATTTTTAAGTCTAATTATTATTAAAAACATTTTACTTTCCCTTGAAAATAAAAAATATATATTCTTAGATACATAATAATTGAAACAAATAGTTTTATTGATATTAAAAATTTTATTTACAATCATTGAATTGTACGTCTCAAATTTTCATTACATTAAATTTATAATAGAATTACATAATAATTTCATAAACATGTTGAATTTTTTTTTGTACATTGAAGTTGTTATTTTATCCATAAAATATCAGAAAACCAATGCATAAATATACAAATATTTTTTAAAACACTGTATTTGTAATAAGATAAAAGAATATGTATTTATCAATAATTATTAATAAATTATTAATCTCATTAATATGCCCTTTAGAAATTTACTTTGGCATTTATCTTTTCAAAATAAAGAAACACAAATGATGTATTACATTTTTAAATGTGTAGATTGATTCTATATATTTATAACGACTTATATACGCTTTTATACTATAAAAATAAAAATGATTTAAAATAATATCGATCTCAATTTTACTCTCTAAGTGCGTGCGCGCACACGCACGCGCGCACACACACAGACAGACCCACATCAATATTTTCATATCTATATTTACCATTTATTAATAATATGTTTTATAAAATAATATATACTAATATATATTAAAAATTTATTTAATGATGGTTTTAATTATAACATAAAAAATGATGTAATTATTTGATAAATTATGTTTTACTTTTTCAGTATATCCTAATAAATTATGTTAATGACATAAATTCACTTGTTTAGAAGTACTAAAAAGCAAATTATAAGTATTTGATAACACAAAAACCTAGAAACAAATGAGAAAAATTATTTATTATTTTAAATAATATTTTTAGCTATTCCTGGAAGTTGGGGCTGTAAAAAAATATACATCACACAATAGTACAAAGTGAAAAAACGTATTGCACAATTCGATTACCGTAGATATAATTCGCATCTGTTTCTTTCTCTCTCTCTCTCTCTCTCTCTCTTTCTTTAATATATGTATAAACATAAATATTTGTGTTCACTACGAAATTTAATACATCTAAATCGCTCTTCGCCTATTCATTTCAGAGTCGCACTCAATTTAGTGATTTTCTCTTTTCACCTTCGCCGATTCATATAACGTAACTTGACTAAACTTGTCGCAATTCTTTGAGTAAACATTAGTTAGCATGTGGAACGAGTAAGCTGATTGGCCAATCCGCTCCCTTGTCATTTGCCACAACTGTCGTATGACGAGGTACCCGTCGAGGACTTTTAATTTTTTACCCATGAAGCGTGGTTCGATGCGTTCGTGTGCCTACTCTTGCTTCTCCCTTTTTTCTGTTATGAGGCGGTTTTATGCAGTTTGTCACTTTTGTAATATCTATTTCTCTCTGTGTAGAAGAATTGGAAAGCTGATTTGAAACAATCATAGACAAATGCTACAAAAAATTTCTTATTAGATTATAAAATATATAAAATAATTTTTTTATTTTGTTTATATTTGTTTATATTTCAAATCCTTAATTTTATTAATAAGAGGATTAAATATTTACCTTTGGATTTAATATTTTATCTTATTTTGTTTTATCAATTAGTGTAAAAAAATATATTGAAGTTAGTTAATATATTTTATTTTTATAGTATTTAACGTGCGTATTTTTTTCGTTACAGCTTATTTGCTTATTTAAATATTATTACATCAAATTTTTATTAGAAAAAAGTTGTAAATAATAAAAATAAACTAATAAAAATGTTTTTAAATAATAAAGGTCTTATTAATAATAAATACTTTGTTTATTGAACTGAAACTATGCTAAAAATAAATTAAAAACTTATTAATGGATTACAGCTTTGACAATAAGAAGATTGATGCATAATATGTTTAACATACCAATCAAGATTTTCAATACAATAGTATTTAAAAATGAATATTTTATTAAAGAACTAAAATTATGATTAAAAATATTAGTCGCTTCAATGTTTTTATAAATATGGTATAACTCGATGATCTAAATCTCAATCTGGCCCCTTGATAATCTAAATCACAACTTCTTCAAATTTATTATTTAATTTTAAGCTTATTAAATAAATTTATTAACAATGTTTAATAGAAGATTGTGAGCTATTTATCAGAAAATAATATTCAATAACATATAAAATATTTTAGAATGTTATCGATAAAATGTTTCAATTAAAAATAAAAATTATTACCATTGCTTTTAATTTGAAAATTTTGTTTATAGAAAGAGAAATGTATAAAGTAAATTTAAATATTTATTTATTATAATAAAACTTAATAAAAAGTTTTTAAGGAAAGGGAAATAGAAAAATAACAGAATTCACTGTTTAATTGTTTTTATTACTTCTCTTTGCATTTCGACACACACACACGCGCGCGCGCGTATATATATATATATATATATATATATATAGTATTATATTTAATAGTAATTTCTATATACAATTTTTCTTTTCATTAATATTTTTCATTTATAAATAATCTAATTACAATAATCTCTCACCACTCTCAAACTATCGTCCTATACATTGTATAGCTTATTGTCCGCAAACTTATCTACACGCATTTACAAATAATCTATTGTATCTACCTATATACATAAATTGATATTTTTAATTATAAAAACAATAAAAAATAAAACCAAAACATAATAATAATAAGAACTACAATAAAATTTTAATTAATTCATGTACATAGCAGTACCATGTAGCAACATCAGAATCGAATTTATTTTCACTAGCCTTCCAAGAACCTCTCTATTTGGTTAATTACTTCAAATAAAATTGTCTCGGTTTTCAAACGCTAATATGGCCTCCACACTGGTTTTGAAACTGGCTGAGTCTGAATTTTTGTTGGCGAAGGACTACGCTTATCTACATTTATTCTATGCGATATAAGAGTCGTAGGTGCCTTTAGTTCATTGCGTGTACCTTCGAATAGTCTCCTTGTATTCGGTCTCTCCGGCGATGTAGAAGAGGGTACGACGGAAATTCCCGTGTTTGCGCTGCCTAAACGGATCGGAACGAAGGCACTACGCACTTCCTCAGGTGCGGAATCACTGCCGCTGTCACTTGGACTTCTAGGAGGTGTACGCGAAGGACTATTGGCTAAGAGTAGTGCGGTTGAGGGTGTAGGTGGTGTTGTTGAATGTATGGAAGAACTCTTGTGGGAGAGGCTGGTGCTCAATTCACTCTGAGGTATCGCCGTC